GAATTCGATGTACTGCATCACTTCCCCCGTAGCAATTAGTAATACATAACAACGTATGTCATATGAGAGAGTCAGTGACTCCATTTTGATTGCCGTAAAGCAGCTGTTTGTATGACCGAGGTCCTCGTGATTTTTATTTTTTGATAAATGCAGCTTTAAAATAGCACCAGGCGTCTTGTTTGCACTCCAGCTTCAGTTACTCCTCTTCCCCCAGAGACCAAATAAGGTACAGGACACGTTAGGTACGCAGTCACTGGTCTGGGGTGGTGAAGTACGTCCGGTACATCACATGGATTCTGTGGGATTTAGTCCTTTTCCTCCCAGTGTTCAGAGCAGCCGTAGTGGGTTCATTTAGCCACACAAACACAAACCCCACTGGATTGTTTTCATTCTTTGCTGACAGCTAACTCTGTTTTTGGTGGAACTTCCTGGTTCTCTCTCAGTTTTGGGTTGAGCATTTGCCGCTTGGCGCTCCAAAAACTAAAAGAAAGGAGGGAGAGGAAAAAAAAAAAAAACACCCAACTTGAATACACTGGATGACTGAGCACATTCCATGTGAGTTACCATTTCCCAGAAACCGAGAGTGGGACTGTCCATGCAAGCCTCCAGGAGGCAGCCGTGCTCCCTCTGCTGTAAATATTTACCCCTGGGGGGCAGGGTTTGGACCGGGGAAATTCACTTATTGCATGTTGGGAAAAGTTTGAGGATTGCGCCATCTTGGTCTGGAGTTGGGTTATTGTCTGGTGTTCTGTGGCTTTTATCAAGCTTGCACACAACAAGTACTCCTTATCTGAGCAATACAAGCGTGAGGCTGAGTGTTTAGATTTGCACCACTTCCCGAATGCATGCAGTTCTCGTTTGTGGTTTGTGGTTGGCAACTTGAATGTAGTCGTTTCCGTCTGATTTTAACCTCGAGGCAGAGTCATAAACACTTTAAATGAGCATGGGCTGAAGTTGGTGTGAAGCCGACTCGATGCAGACTCTGTAGGGATACAAATACACACATTAAATGTGTGAAGTTTGGATGCTACCGGTCTAGGTTATCCATCAAGTTTTGCCTCGGTGTTTTCTTTAATAGGAGTTATATTTATCCCTGCACTGTCAGGAAGATTAAAAGTTCCAGTTGGACAAAGTCTAAGCTCCTCTCTGTCACATTTGCTTTCCTCTGCAACCTTTTCTTTAAGATGTGAAGTAGAAACTTATCTTGTGATTAAAATCGAGGTGTAAAACTTTACTTTAAAACTCCTGTCTTTGTTGTTGTTGACATCCTTGACCTTCTGAAGTTTGGACACAGTCCTGTTGTCATATCTAATTTATTCGTCTGCGTTCAACTTCACCACAGACTCGCATGCAGAGCCTACACCCCGAGCCAGGAGCGCGCTACAGGAACGTGATGGACGCCCTGCGGCAGATCGTGCGGACTGAGGGTCTGTGGCGGCCAATCAGAGGTGTGAATGTGCTGGCGGTGGGGGCGGGGCCTGCCCACGCTCTCTACTTTGCCTGCTACGAGAAGATCAAGTTCAAGCTCAGTGACGCCATTCATCCTGGCGCCAACAGCCACTTTGCTAATGGTAAAAAGCCTACACAACACACACACACACACAGACCTAAATGAAAATGTACAAAAATGTATTTTTAGCAAGAGAGAAATAATATGTGTAGTTCAGTATATGAAAGTTGTTTTGGTAGAAGATTAACAAATACATTTTAAGGCACATGCTTAAAAATATACATGTGAGTTTTGGTGATAGTTGAGGACGCATGAAACTCGATAACCTCGTGGTTGAGGCTTTAACTTCCTCTTCTCTGTTTACCTCTCTGCAGGAGTGGCGGGCTGCATGGCCACAGTGCTGCATGACGCCATCATGAACCCAGCGGAAGGTAAAGCCTCCTTTTTATTATGTCGACACACACACACACTCACACTCA